CGTAAGTTTGAGTCAAAGCAAGGGAATATGATGGAAATAAAGTGGTCAAAGTAAAAAAACCCAAAAAAGTATCCTGGAGCAAAAGATGAGTAAAAGGGAAAAGAAAGAAGGTCGGCTAATAAAGAAACGTAACTTTGAGTCAAAGGAAGTCAACATGATGGAAATAAAGTGACGAAAGTAAAAAAACCCAAAAATAGACAAGGCTCCCACTTTTAAGTTTATATATAATTGGTCTTATTGGTAAATTCTTTCGCATTGTTTCTAAATTATTCTTAATGAAATGGGCTGGGCCAAGGCCTAAAACCTACCATTTGAACCACTACTTGTTTACTTGGTTCGGGTATCAACAAATTCAAGTTCAACCAAAACTCAAAGGCAAAACAGAAAGCAATGAAGACTGCTCCACAAGTAATCTTGATCTTCGACAAAGCCCTCGCCACCGCCATCACCGGCGGCCTTCAACCAAACGCCAACTCTCCTCTTCAAATTTCGTTAGTTCTACAACTTCTTTTCGCTGTTACGCAATCGCTGTTTCGGTATTTATCCGCTCAGTTCATCCTATAATCTGTTGTCTTTTGTTACTTGATTTTACAGAACAGAGTCTTTCGATCTGTCACTAGCTCGATATGGAATCACCGGTGTCAGAGCTTCCGGAAACATCACTCACTTCGTTGATAGCAATAGAGTTCCTCAAGTAGGTATCACTCTTTGATTGCTAGGTTTTTTCAATTCTTCGTGTTAGGTTTAAGCAATCCGCGCAACTTAACACAACTTAGTTAACTTCCGAGAATTGGTTATGCTATTATGCTTATTCGCTTCAAATCACTTCTTCAGTTTACGTAAATCGTGTGATTAGTGCTTCGAAATACAATAATTTGATGAATTTGAACTCATTATAGTTATAATTCTTGTTATGAGTGATTTAATTTTTCAAATCAATGGTGTGACCATTTCTTGTGGATAACAATATTCTATGGCTTCCATTCTTTCATCAGGTTTCCATTTTGGTTATGCAAAAGTACGAATCTCCTGTATTGGCGTGTGCCATTAGTGAAGTATTGTCATCATTAGCAGGAGAAGACAAGTCAAACATGCCTTCATTGATCCTTCCCTTCATTCTAGACTCATCAAAGATTAAACTGGAAAGAAAAAACTCACCAGATGAATCTGTTTATGGCATCCAAATCGGTCCACAAACTGACATGATGCAAACCCTAGCTACCAGACATGAAAAGGCACCCTCATCGATGCAGATTCACCATGAACAGCTATCTTGTGTTCTTCAATTGGTCCGTGTCTTGAAGACACCAGCATTCATTCTGATTGGGCAAATTGGTCAACATAAAAGTACAACAAATGACCTTGAGGTACCTATTCTTGATCTTCTTGTGTGTGCAAAAGACGTTAATACCCCTTCTCATCGTGTTTACCTTTTGATCATTTTGTTTTCTTTCCCAGGTGATTTGTAAAATAGGAGAAACTTTGGCTAGTGTTTCCTCCTTGCAATTTGTGAAAGAAAACATAACATGGAATCCAAATAAGGTGTCAAAAGAACATGAAAAAGAGCCATGGCGTGCTTTATATGGTTGAAATCAGGTTTCTTGTCACACTGAGATGTTCATGTGTAGTCCATTTTATGCATTTCCATTTGTAGTTTTTGTTTCATATTGACATTAGAAAAGTAACAATGGTTATATGCTACATTTTGTTGTATGTTCACTATTGTCAATTTGTCATCATAATTGGGAATTAGAAACAATGATGATCAGAATTTTGCTAATTTCTCAATGAGCTTCCAAGTGTTGGTGATGAGAATGAGGGTATTTATGTCTTTTGGACAAATGAGAGATATACACCGCTTTGTTTTATCTTTTCTTTTTTTGGGTGGGCTAAAAAGCATTGAAATCACATTCAAACAACAAAGAAAAATATGCTAAGTATTTCTATATTATAATACGAACAAACTTTCAACAAAAGATATGATGCGAGGGTTAAGCCTAAGAAGAATCAAGAACATGCTTGATTCTTAACCACTCTAAACATATAAAAGTGAAAACAACACTCGATTATCCTTACAAAAAACTGTCTCCTAAGAATATTTTTTTGTTTCCACGATCACGAACAAGGTTACTCTTATTGGATGGAACTTTGGGGGTGTTTGGGATTGTTTTTTAAGTTGAAAAGTTCTTTTTATAAAAGAACTTTTTGATTTTAACTTTTGAGGGAGACAAAATCAAAAGTCAGTTTTAAAAAGGGTTTGTCTAATGTTTATTGACTTTTGAAGGTAATTTACTTTTTAAGAATGCAAAAATCACAAAAAGTCATGATTTCTTGTCTTTTGAAAAACCATAAATTCATTCTTGCCAAAAAGTTAATTTCAAAATGACTTTTGTAAATGCCAAACATCTTTTAGAAAATTTTAACTTTTTAGAAAAGCCAAAAGTCAAAAAGTCATTTAAAAAACAATCCCAAACACCCCTTTATATGGAGAACATAATCTATCACATGATAAAATCATTTATGTTGCGTAGACTATAAAACTATAACAGATAAGATTTTCCTTGTGCATGTATATATGCATGAATGTATGTAAGTGGTCATAATGTTTAGTTGGGTTCATATATCTAGTAGGGGTTACATGTAGGTGTGTTTGTGTGGGTATGTATGTATGTATATATACATACATACACAACCAGAAGATCTCCAAAATTGCTAACGTAAGTTGGTCAATCATAAACAAAAAAATCAGCTACGACAATTTGACTAACAAATTGTCATCAACCGGTCTCAAAAACGCTTTATGTATTTTCTACCAGAATGCAATATGATCTTATCTATCTATCAAAACAATCTATTAGTAGTAATTAAATATTTTTTTTATTTTTTTTCCTACCATCTTCCTAAACACTTAAGATTTTGATATTTATCATATTTAATAAAATTAATAAATTTTTTTATTTCATTTGTCATCATCTAAAAGTGATAGCAGGATGATTGGGAAGAAAAAATAAGAAAATATTATTGAACACAATCTATCGGTGATTGAGACATTTTGTACATACTTATAAGTTTGACAAATTTTATGGTGTCGTTTATTGCAAAATTTGTCATCATCTATTGGAATCAACTTAAGACTAGCAATTATATGAAAACGTATTTAATTAGTGCCAATAAATATGGTTATTTAATTAATATAAAATATCAAATTGTACAAATTAAAATTTTCATAATAACATATATTTAAAAGTTATAAAATTAGTATTTTGGGTCTTTGGGATGACTTTATTTGAAATTTTGAATAGAGTCGTGGATGTAATTTCACTATTTTGAATAGAGTCGTGCTACTAGAAAAATAAAGGATTTCTAATTGAACATGAAGGGCGTGGATGTAATTTCACTATTTTAGCGTTGAGTGGATCTAGCACTTTGGAAAGTTTTTCGCATTTTGAAACGCTGCAGTTTCCCGCACAAAAGCGTCTTCCCATTCATCACTCCATTGATACACTGGTAGGACCTTACCTCGATCTGCTCTATAGATCAATCAAATCCATCGAATTGTTGTTAATTACTGTAATCTATCAACTGAAACAAACAATGGCGTCGCCGGTGACTGCCGAAGAGCACTCTAACACGAAATCGGAGGAAGGAACCACGGCATTCCATAAGAAAAGGTCTCGGCGTGTGAGCTTTGCGGAGAATACCTCGGTTCACATATTTGACCGAGATGAAGAGACACCTCCGGACCCTAATGCTCCTAGCTCCCCCTACGAGGACCTAGGGTTTTCTGATCGAGATGCTAAGCTGAAGCAGTTTTTCGGAAACGAAGAAGACGACAACGAAGATGATGATACGGATGAACTCGGTCCAAGGAGTCCGTTTTTTCGGGTGGTTCGGTCACCGTCCTCCGGTGGAAGCACTATTGGTTCCGCTACCTCCAACGATGGCAAGTATTCCTGATCCTAATCATTTTTTTTTTCACTTGATTCACGTGAATTCTCACATCTCAATATGTTAATTACTTAATTTCATGCAATGTTGTGCTCATATTTTGCTGCGTGTTCTTATAAAACTACTATATCTTGCTTGCCTTGCCTTCTCTTTTGAGATCTATTACATATGCGTTCTAACGAGCATTAGTTGTTAACTAACAAATTGGGAAAGCCCAGAGATCTAAACCTCCTAAAGGAAATAAAATTGGCATGATCTTCTTAAGCTCAAAGTTGGAAATTGGTCATCTTAGTAAATTAGTAGTGCATAAGCACGAGTGAGATTTGGGGTTGATTGCAAATTGCAATAATGCTAGCTAGTCCAAGACCGTATATTATTTGTGATATCAGCTTCTCCAAATAACCAACTGTACAGAATGTTCTGAATTTTGATCAGAGTACTTTGTACATAAAACAATCTATGTAGGGTTACAGTTCTTGATATCATTGTGCCACCATAGTCTTTCCCAGTTGTATGATGTTTTGTCCACATAAATTCAGAATGCTGCTAACTGTTTTTGTCCAAATACATTTCTGCTTGCAGAAGATAATTTTTTTGGTCTTGTATCTGCAAAATTTATTAAAAGAGATTTGTCAGACTCTGTCACATCAAATGGGAATCATGATCAAACCATGGACTCCACATCATTTTCAATGCATTTCAATAGCATTGCTAGATCAGACTCAGAAGCAGATTTGAAAACTTCCACAGGGGTTGATCACCTTTCTTTTGAGGAGAAAACCCCAACAAGTTCCATGCTACTCACACTGAATAAGAAGCCAAATTTTCAACCTGATGTTTCTACCTCTAAATTCAGCATTGATTCTCAATCAAATGACATGAGTCTTGTTGGAGAATATCACAATAAGTATGACTATGGGAAGCTATCAATATCACCTGCATCTGATGCACACAATGATTTGCATGTGGTCTCCCATATTTCTGTGCTAAAGTCACCTCTTAAAGATGGAAAACAGTTTTTAGCAAACAAGGAAAACAAGTCTGATATCATGGATTTTAGTTATGTGGAAGATAAAACCAAGAAAGCTGTCAAAGATTCATTTGGTATCAACTCAAGCATGGAATCTTTGGTTGAAACTCAAAGTTCTCCAAATTTCAAGAATATGGTTTTTCAAGCAGATGATATCATGGAAATGGAAAACAAATCTCCTTTAACAGGATCAATAACACATTTCATTGATATGCAAGATCACATGCTTTTAAATGATGATAGCCTATATAAATCTCCAGGAACTTTGACTCCTTTTAATCAACCGAGTTTTCTTCTAACCCAAAAACATGGTGGAAGTGTTTCATCTTTAGAGAAAAGCATTTCTAAACTAAGAATCCTAGAGGCCTTTCCCTTTTCTGCTGCTTTGAATGCTAAACTTGAAAATTCAAATTCCAAATCTTTACTTGGCATTTCCAAGATGAATCCCTTCATTACATTGAACAAAAACAACAAATCCCCTCAACCCAATTTTAACAACATTATTGGGAGTAAGACTGTGGACACGTGCAGTGTGTTGCAAAATGACAGCATTGCCCCTGTGCCTGTGAAAAATGTAGAGTCTAGAAAAAGAAAAACAGAAGATATGATGACTGAGAAAATTGCTAGAATCAAGTGGAGTTCAAGATTCTTAACAGAAACAAAACTTCTTTCACATTCAGTTGATAAGATGAATTTGCATGCGGTATTATTATTATTATTATCATTATTATTATTTTCCTGTTTATCTTTTTTTGTTTTCTTTCTTTAATATATCGTGACATTGCTCTGTTGTTGCAGATTGATTGTTTGTTTGATATTCTGGAGAAGCTTCAGATGTCAAAAACATATGAGCTTCTTTCTAATGAAATTAAGTCTCATATTCAACACAAAAGGTAATTATATTGTTTTTATTATATATATATATATATATATATATATATATATAATATTTCAGTTATTTCTTGAGTTAAAAATATTGAATTTTCAGAAAAATGGAAACAAGATTGCTATTGTGCAAAATTTTGCATGAGAAAGCAAAGTTGCAGCTAATGCATGTGAAACGAGAGAAATTACTGGTAATATTAATATTATTCAATACTTCCCTTTAATTTATCTAATCAAAGTCATGTTTATTTGTTTCTTTTAAATTCTGTTTTATTTATAGAAAAATAAGCAATCACTTGCTTTTGGAATTCAAGAGTCTGAAGCATTGAAGTTGAAATATTCACCTCAAAATCTACTAAATGCTCAAGTTATTCATCACCAAGAGGTATTGAAAATTTGAAATTTGAAATTTTATAAAAAAGTTGTTTTGTCAATTGTCATTTCTTGTATCAAATTTTGATTTTATATCATGTTAGGGACAAATTGACAATGAGAAAGTGACTACATTGAGTGTAGCAATAAAAGATACAGATAAAAGAATTCAAGACTTGATACAAGCTTTTCACATATCATTCAAGATGAAACAAGAAGTTAACCCTACTGATGCTGTTGCATTTGTTAATAATCATTTGATGAAAAAAACACAGTGTCAAATCATACGCAAGGATTTACAGGTTCTGATATACTTAAAAATATTAGTTTATTTTATTAATTAATATATAAAACTTTTTTTTTTCTTTCTTTTTCTTGTTTCAGCTTTGGGTTATAGAAGATTTAAAAAGTAGCAAAGATCATCATTATCTTGTTCTTAACTACCTTGACCTAATGACTCAAAGGTTCATAGTCATTTCTGGTGTAGTCACAAGCATTTCTGTTTCATATATATTAAATGAAACGAATATAGTTAAGGTGAGATATTATTTTTAAAATATTTATTTGGAACTTTCATATAATATCTCATCTTTATATTATTTTATTAACAACCTTATTTATTGCCTTATAGAGTTTCAACGATATGGATGCTTTAATTGCATTTCGATTTGTCTTTAATGTTGGATTATCAACACAAAAACATATTGATCATACAAGTTTAGCATATGAAACCCAAGTAAGTAATTATTTATTTATTTTTATTCTTTTTGTAAAAAACTGAAAAGTTGTTTTTTTTAATAGATGAATAGTTCTGTTTTGGGCAATTTGGTTGATGTGATGGAGGAAATACAACTTGCAAGAATAGAACTAAAGAACCTGATTCATGCAAGATTCCACGTATCCTTGGGTAATTAATTTTCTATTATTTGAAAATGACATTTTTGGTCAAATTAAGTTTGACAACATTTTGACCTTTTTTTTTTTTTTTTCAGACAAACACCTCCATCTGGAGCTTTACTTCTTTAATTCAATCATCCGAAAAAAGGCAACAGTAACTCTAAACACTTCATGTTTAAAAAGGTGCCTTTAAACATTTTATATTAAAATTTATTTAACAATATAATTTAGTATTGCTGACGTGGCTAATGAAATTCCAACAGGGGTATCTACCCATCCGAGATTCTCTCATGTCAGATTGAAACCCAATCACAAAATTCATCTTCTTCATCACTTTCAGATGAAATTACAGCTGAAATCAAAGACCTCAAAGTGGGATTTTTAAGGATTTTACAGTTGTGTAAATGCATATCACAGGTAATCAACCATTCAAGGTAAAAAAAATAAAAAAAACTTACTCAAAAAAAAAATGTAATCAAGAAAAATATTGAATCCATGGTCAACCACCCGTTGAACAACTGTTTGTAAAAAGTTATGTCTTAATAGGGATTAGGGAAAGTCTCCTTTCTCTAACTTTCTCTCGTGTATAGCTTATTGGATTAAGGGTTGTTTATTTTTTACTTAATGAACTTAATGGTTAAGCATTTAAATCCAACTTAATCTAGATAGAATATCTAGAATGACTTCTAACTCCTATATGTGGTTATTTAGTCTCATTTATTTTAGAAAAAGAAACAAATTTTATGTGTACAAACAATTTATTAAATTGATTGGTGGGGTTTGTAGTTGGACTTAGCTTTCCTTATTTGTATGAGGATGAGAGTTGCCAAACAGTGTAAAGTGCCCCTACTTGTGGGGAAAAGGCAAGTAGTGGGAGGGAGTATAAATTATAAAGTGATGCTCATGGATGGCTTGTTCTTATCCATATCAAACTTTTCGTACTAGGAATCTCTAATACGCACTTGACTTGACCTCTTACTTACTATAATTTTACGCTAGATTTTTTTTTTGTTTAAAAAATAAGGAATTAAAAATGGAAGAAAAGACATGAGTTTGTAATAAATCAAATATTGGTTTTGTACTTATGGGGGCAAGACTTGACAAGTATCGAAAGTGAAGGGGACGTAAGGTAAAAGAGAGGGTGGGTAAGGGTTGGATAAGGTGACCACGACATGTGAAGTCTGTTTTGGAAGACGACAAATCAGAACCCAATTACATAGCTTAGGATCGGGACTATGGTTAGGGTTGGGTTTTGGGTTTGGGTTTGGGTTTGGGTTTGGGTGAAGACTAGGTAGCATGTAGTCTGCCTATTATGGAACCAAAAGAAAAAGTGCATATACATGTTAGTTTCAGTTTTATTGTTTTTATTTTAAAAATGTTTAAAAATGTTTAGTTCCGTGTATATAATTCAATTGTAAAGGTGAAAAGGACAGATGATATTATTGGATATAGATTTCATACGGAAATAGAAATATTTGTGTTTATTTATATTAAAAAGACTTCATCTTTTATTAAATACAATACGACTCCTCATCATAGTCCATATGTTGTATTTTGTTTAGTTTAATTTTTTAGAACGACGTGTACCTATTGATATAATTCTAAATCCACATTTTTTTTTATTTTCTAACATAACTTGAATCCTTAATTATTATTTTTTTATTTTATTGTTATTATTTGTTTATGTTGTAGTATGTATATAGACCATGGTTCTAAGATACATGTCAAGGCCTGTTATGGTATAGCTATCTCGAAACATAAAATGCGGGTTTGTTAAACGTAGCTTCCAAATAACGTGTCGGTGGCACTCCTTATCTCACAAGTGTTTTTTGATTGGTTTTTTTATCGGACATGAAATAATTGAGTTTTTGTTAACCTTTTCATATTAAGTGGTGATATAACACTTCTAAAAATTGATATATATGATTTTTTAATTCTTTGATTTTTAATGTATAAAATTGTCATGTTTTGAAAAACTTCATAGTTCGCCAAGACTTGTTATAGCTTGATACTTGACATTGCCGAGATGTCATGCCTCACACAATTTAGAACATTGATATAGACAAATTTTATCTATGTTTGTTTTCATTGTGGGACATAATAGTAGAGATGTTTCAAAATACAAAAAACTTTAAAGATGTCATAATCAATACATAACATTATTACAACATAAAGACCTAATGGTCCTGAACAATATTTCAGGTTGTCTCATAATCACTCGACAATCCTAAACAAGTTCTAACAACTTTAACCCTGTTACTTGTGATGCATATAATTTGAGTAGGTCAGGTTAGGAAACATGGTGAGACACATGAGGTTTTCAATCCCACAATAATATTATGATAATAACTTATAATTATCAAACCTCCAAAACCAACTATTACCATACAATATAGATATATCCCATAACTTAGATATTTATAAAACATTACACCTATACATACACATCCCAACCGATTATTACAAATCATAGTCCACGATTATCAGGAAGAACCAACTCACCTGATGAATCGTTTAGAGCAATGGTTTGAGTACATGGCTAGGGACTTCCTTGGCATGTATAAGTCATAAAGGTACTTTAGCCGCCAAAGTATTTGTTGATTATGGCATCTCCATTTCATCTATATCCGTGGCTTATAAATCCACACTACCAAAGTAATTCACAAGACTATCTGGAATGTCAAGTGTTGTCATCCTACTATGTTAGATGAACATACATACTTTTAAGTTGCCTGATCGGACCCACCATATTTGGTTATCCAAATGAATACTATAAGTACTCTGGTACGTACATCGACACTTGATAGTGCCACAAAACAGAATTCTACTCCCTGTTCCTGTCTCACACAACCCAAAATGAAACTACACAACATCCAACTTAACCGAACTAAATATCCTTATAAGTATTATTTTGTTTCTAGACAAGACTACGATACGTGTAAATAATTTCCAAAAATCCTATTTCCTGATTACACAATACTTATCACAATATGGTGTATGATTGCACTTTTAACCAACTTAATGAAATCCCAAAATCCTTTATACGTCTTAGTTCAAAACTTAGACGAGACTATAATTCTTATAATCAACTATCAATACCAATCTTATCCAGAAAACACTAACATAAATCAATGTATATAATTAACACATTGGTATTTAATATACATTAATCTTTTAAGCAATAATAATATTCTTAAGATTGCCCTGTAATAATAACATATATATATATATATATATATATATATATATATATATGTATATATATATTGTCACACCCCCGGACCAGACGGCGGAAACGACCGGAGGCGGGTGACTTCATTGTGCAGTATCATAAC